TCAGAAAAACTATTTTTGGAAAATAAAAAAATGGACCAATGGACCTTTGGTAGAACGGTTTCAATTATTAAAGCTAAGTTTGCACCATTGAAGAAATTGGAAATGGAGATGCATATTTCAAGTATTGCTAACATCGAAAGGAATTCTATTTTTGGGATATTTTAAATGTTGATGAATGATTCTTAATTGTTTCAAAATTGTTGATAATAAATATAAAAAATCAACCTTATTAAAGCTGTTAAATATTTAGATCGATTTTTATAAATTCTTCGACAGCTTTAAGTGTTACTTTTGTTCCCTTAAATATTTTATAAATGTATCCACCGTCATCTTGTCTAGCGCGCGGAACTGTGAGGGGGGGGGGGGGGGGGGGATATTCATTATTCATTATTCAACGTTTTTCGTGGCAAACAAATCAAAATTCGTTTCACACAAATTAGTCAATTTGATGCTTCAATTGCGCCGCACGTGTTGCTGTTGCCACAGACATTGCCATTTTGTTGCTGCCCAGACCAGACCAGACCAGACCAGACTGGGCCGGGCCGGGCCGGGCCAGAGTGGATGCCTTGACATATAACGTTTCATTCTGTGCTGTTGAGGCGCCGCCGTCGTGTCAATAAATTTCATTGACATGTCATCAATCTCAATTTTGAAGCAGTTCCTGTGCTGCTGCTGCTGCTGCTGCAGCTCCAGCTCTAGCTCCTGTTCCTGCTCAGTATCAGTTCCAGATTTGGCAACAGTTCGTATTCCAGAGTAAACGCTGCAAATGATATCAGTTCCGGTTCTTCGCTCAAGTTTCACCTTTGCAAATTTCAGTCCAAGTTCAATCCAGTTCTATATTGAGATACAGCTTAGCACTAAACGCATTTGCAGTTCCGACTTCAGTTCCGCTTTTAGTTCAAGGAATTACTTTAGCTTCAGTTCTAGTTCATGTTACAGCTCCACTTTCGGTTATTATTCGAACAGCTACATAGAGCTAAGGCCGCATCGATTTTTGTAGTTCCAGCTCAATTGAACAAGCTCTAACCAAGCTTCAACGTGGTTCAGCTCAAGTTCCAGCTGCAAAGCAAGCAAGCAATTATAGTTCCAGCCTATGCTTTAATGCAAGTGCATCCAACAAGCTATCGCAGGCAGCTAAAATGCAGCGTTTATTCAGTTCCAGTTCCAGTTCCAGTTCAGGTTCCATTAGGCACGCCTTGCGAACTGCTTCAGTTTGTTTAATGTAAATCAATAAATTTCATAAATATCTGTTGCATAAAGCACTTGAACTGTCCGCACTGCTGTTGCACGACAGTCACCACGCCCCCTTTCCCCTCCCCCGCCCAGCCTGGCATTGCGTTGACTTGCGCCCGGGGGAACGTTTCAAGTTTGCGTTTTGGTTTTGGCCACTTTGCTGTTGCTTTGAATACTTTTTATTTCAATTTCCGCCCACAAAAGCGGAGCAGCAGAGGCGGCGGCAACAAAAGACAAATTTATGCCACATTAACAGCTAGAAGCTTTCAAAATGCGTTTGGATGCGCCACCAGGCGGCGACCCTCGGGCCAGAACCGACACGCCCCCACCCATCCCCATTCCCACCGCCTACGTCAGCCCATAGTCCTTCACAACATTTTCTTGGGACTCTGACCAAAAATTGTTGGCACAATTTGTTGTATATGGCACTGTGACTGCCTTACTTTCCCTTAGCTCTGCGGGTGGGTGTGGAATGTGGTGGTGCGGGGGTGTGGAGGGTGTGGGGCCTGGCACAGGGTGTGTTGTACTCGGTCTCCCCCCAAAAAAGATGCGCTTAAAAACAAAAGCGAGACAAGCATTAAATTTAACGCGACGAAAACTTGTCCCATTTTGGTGTCTGTGTCTTCCGTTTTTTGCCTGCAGTTGTTGCTGTTGCTTGTTCTGCTGCTTGTTGCTGTTGCTGTTGTTGCTGTTGCTGTTGCCTTGCGACAAATTTCAGTTAGCTCATCCATCCGACGCGTCATCGTCGTCGTCGTCGTCGTCGTCGTCGTCGTCGTCGTCGGCGCTGGCAACCCCCGCCGGCTGTCAGGCAGCTGGTAACGTCAAAAGTGCAGCTCAAAACTTCAAAACGAGTCACGTTGCCAGCCCCCAAAACACCCTCACTCCCAGACCCACCCCTTCCCCCTTTAAAACCAACGCCGCTCATTGCCTTTTGGCCATCTTTTAGACCATTTCTGTTAGCTGCATGCTCTCAAATTAAGATTTATGAAGGTTGTAAAAAACAACAGCGACAGCACCGATGGCAGGCAGCAGTTGGGCGTCGGACGGGCGGATGGGAAATTGTGCATGGCTAGGGGTAGGGGTTGGGGTTGGGATAAGGGACATTGAGGGTAGCCCAAGTCTAGCAGCAAAAGCGAGCGATGAATGCGCCAAAAAATTTAACGCCCAAATGATTACAAATGAGTTGAACAGCGGACAAAGTTGCACGCACCCCCGCAAGCAGCAGCAGCACACCCGCTTTCCCCGCTACCCCCGCACAGCCCAAGTGCTTGGTGCTGCCCCCAACCTGCCCCTTAAACGTCAACATCCGGCACAGCCGCTGCGTTCTGAAATTGTGTCATTGCAAATAAAATCAACGGACGTGACGTCATCTCAACAATTTGCATTGTGTTGCCAAAAGAAAAAGAGAGCGAGAGCGAGAGAGAGAGAGAGAGAGAGAGAGGGAGAGCAGTTGCGAGCAGCTCAAATATATGGTTATAGACTTAATTCGACTCAAGATAACTTGTATGCATATATCTCTTACGCAGCTTATTATTTTTCCCAAATGGTTATAGCTTTCAACTGGGAATAAGGGCTTGCACATTTAGAGTAGGCAGACCCTTTATACATACATATTTCTCTGGCACGATCTATTCTAGACCAATGCCTCATGGTCGCCCTCATATTCTATTCAGCAGGACAAAATCTGTACAGAGCCAGTTATTGTTGTGGCTTAAACTGGAATCTCGGTTACCATCATACTCAAGTAGACTTCTGATTTTTAATCTACCTCCTTTAATAATTGTAGAACTTTGCTTTGTGCAACTTTTATTCATAGGTTAATTACGGATGAAATCGATTCTTCTGGGTTGACTAGCCAATTAAAGTTCATTGTCCCTACTAGATTAACACGTAAGTATGCACCTTTATCGCTTTCATTTTGTTCAACTAACTATGCATTGCATGAGCCGTTCAGGGTCCTCTTTGATGATTATAACACGTATTATACAGTATCAGTGGGCTGAACACATTGCATCGAGATGCACGCGAGAATAACCGAAACGTTTTTATACATACATATATGCAAAGTCAAAGCTTCTAAGTGTTTTCAACAAACATTTTAATTAGCGATGCAGAACATTTTTAAGTGCCCATTAGGTGTATTTATTATTATTCCTGCATTAATTAAATGTGATCTAAAAAGATATTAAAATTTGCATATCAGCTTCTGATTGCCCTGCACATTTGACTATTCTATTGAATTAGAGCTCACAAATTTGATTTAGAGCATTAAGCTCAAATAGAGCTCTAAATAATTGCACCATGTTATTGCCAAATCAATTAAAACTAAATAAAAGCGTGATTTTTTTACCAACATATATAAATCGGGTGTTTTGGGCATCTACATTATCTACTTTAGATAGTATTAATGAAAATTGTTTTATGCAAATGTGCGTAACAGGCAGAAAGCCCCATTAAAACTATTTTCATTGCTGCATCCAAAAAGTGATTTGTACAAAACGAATTTAATTTTAAATTAAATAAAAAACAAAACAACAATGAAAAGGAAAATATAAAACTAATTCCGTGTTGAGCACTGGAAATAATTCGCTTGGCAGCTAATCAACTCGTTTTACATGGCATTCATTTTGGCCGCATAATTAATTTGCTAAAACTGTAATTTGGAATTTAAATTAAATTTGATTTATATTATTTAAGCATTTGCGAATATTTAAGTCGACCGCTTTTTATCTCGTTTTTCTGTTAATTTTTAAATGCGCGCTCGCAATTAATTAAGTTCCCGTGTAAAATGCAAAAAGAATGCGAGTATTTTAGCCCAGATTAAAATTGCATACATAATGCGCTTGTGAAAACAAAAGCCAGAATAAAGTATGCAGCTAAAAGTACTCTACTCTACTGTACGACTTCGAAATACCCCGTGTGCAAACACCAAAATATTTACTACCGCGAATTTGCACAGTTAACCTTTTTATTCAATTGTCCAGGTACTCCTACGTATTTATGCAAGAATCCCTTCGGTCTGTCCAAGCATACATTACAAGATCATAGTTTTGTAGAAGAGCACAAAAAAAATCTAAGGAAAATTTTAAATTTTTCTGTAGATCTAAGCATAAAGTGGGATAAATGTGTCATATTATATTTGTTTTGTATTCCCTGATTTTGGTTTGAAATAATTCTCCTTTTAAGCATCCTCTATTTCTTTCAGTGAGCGGCGTCTAACACAACTTTCCAACACTTCTCATACACATATAAAGGTACCAGATTAGCTGTATTATTAAACTTCCACTCCTTTCTGCAGCTAGGACAACTTTTTGGCCACTTTCTCGTGCGAAAATTCTGATATAAGTTTAAAATATTATTCATGACATAATTGTAAAAATTCAATGTCCGAAATTTGTTGTATGGTCTGATTTAGGAGAAAAAAAGTGAATGGCAATAAAAAACTATACAAAATATATATATTTGTTATTGAACACTAAAAAAATGTTAACTAAGAATATGAGTCGCATATATATATATATATATATATATATATATAAATTAAGCCGATTACATAAGATTAACTACATAATTAGCTTATACAGCAAAGGCCAACATATTGACCCAAACCAAAACCTTGTGCATTTTGCTTCCACTGTTCCCTTTCTTTGTGAAAACTGATATACCAAAAGTTATATTTTATGAATAACTTTCCAGAACTTAGCAGCCTGAGCATATACGAAAGCGTTACCCAGATTTGCATGTGGAGTCGACACAGAAAATATCTTCAGTCTAATTCTTGTCGTAGTGCTGTGTAAATCGTTAAGATTTCTCTCAATTTCGGCATTAAAAATACCAAAAAAAAAAAAACCATAAGAATACAACAAAATTGTAAAGTGTCTAAAACATAAGTACAAAGTGAAAATCTTTGTGGGCAAACTTGGTGGTTCGCTAGGTTCAACAACTTGAATTTCCTTTGATTAACCTATGTTTCTCTCGTTAGTTAGTATAAGTGCATTAGATTGTCAGCTCATCGCCAAACACCGAGTAAAACTAGCACATATTAGCTAAACACGAATTCGGTAAGTTGGCAGCTCTGGTTATTTAATCTATGAGTCTTCAACTCATTTGGTTTGTGTCTTTGCTTTGTTTCAGCTCCCTTTTCGCTAGTCCTATTTTGAAGAACTGAAAACTATCTGTTGTTTCAAATTGTGGTAATCTTAAGGTTCGAAGAAGAATATTAAATTTAAGTTTCCAACTTTGAAAGCTGAAATCTCTTTACGCAAAATTAAAAATTTATAATCTCAAACCTAGAGAATGTGTTTTAATTGTATAGGGCATTTTGTACTCTGGTACAGATTGGGGACTATGGTCGGAGTGTAAGCACGCAATTTATTTTCCAAGTAATATGCAGTCGTACAAAAGTTAGGTATCTCCAAAAAATCGGCCAATGTGTATTTTCCTCCTGGCACTGCTGCCAATTCTGAAATCCTATCCGTTTTTCGAATATACATTCCCAGAGTGAAATTTTCGTCCCATTTTATGGAGAGTGCACAAAATATTGACTAAGCATGATTACTGAGAGCGAAAAGTCAGTGAAATAAATCGAATTTCGTTTCGATGTCCAGCAGAAAAACCATAGGAAATGTTTATGAAATTCACCATATGCGAAGAGGGGGGAGGAGGGCACAACTGGACGGGACTGTCAGTACATGTGGGCTGACACTAGTGGGCGTGACAAGTCTAAAACAACTTACAATCTATTTGGCCCTGTGTTGTGTGTGGCACAAGGCGCGAAGGTGGAAAGGGAGTGAAAGTGGCAGCACAATGCTCCAAACAAGTGCAGGTAAATTTAATTATGGCACAGCGCAACGAGTAATAAAAAACGACAGATAGAGAGAGAGAGAGAGAGAGAGAAAGAGAGAGAGAGAGAGCGAAATAGAGAGCGAGAGAAACAGACAGATTAAGCAAGAGGAGAGTCGAAAAGGCAGCTTGGAAAAGTTTTAGAAAATATGGCACAAGCGTTTATTTTTCACTTTTTTTTGTCTATTTTTTTTTTCTTTTTTATATATTTTTCACTTTATTCATTTAAAAAAAAAATTGGTTTAGTTTTATTTTTTTTGCTGTTGGACGTTTTGCTTGTTATCTAATTTTTGCATTTTACTTACTTATACTTTGTTTTCAACACATTTTCTGTGTGTCTGCTGGCTTTTTCCTTTGCTTTTTGCTGCGCTTTAAGCTGCTCCTTTGCATTTTTCAAGCATCAATTAAACAGCAAAAAGCTTTTCCAACAGCTCCCAAACGACAGGCACGACGCGCGCGCAGGCCGCGGGTGAACGCGAAAGATGCGGCGCGAGTGCAAAAAGTTGCCAAAGCGCATTTCCCGGCAAAGCAGTTAGAGCAGCGGGAAAAGGCAGCAGGTGGGGGGGCGGCGGCGGACGTGTTGTACTGCCAGGTACAGCTGCCGCACTAAAGACATCAAGTGACATCAACCCGTTCTAATTACGGCGGGTCAAGCCAACAAAAGGACGGGGAAGGACATCAAAATTGGTTCACTTTGTGATCAACGAACCCAGAACGCTCGCAAGTGCTTCATTTGCACCACTGCAGCACCAAGTGCTTCAAACTGCTAAAGAAGACGCTTCTAAACGAAAGTTTCTTGAATTAAATTCACTCAACGCTTAGCTCCCTTGCTGAGCAGCGAGTTATCCACTCGTTATCTGAAGAAACGAATGGATTCGTAGCACATCTACAACAACGAGTACTTGCCTATGCTTAGAAGTATGAACGAGAAATTCCTGCGCCTACAAGCGAGTTACCTACTCGTTGGTTTGCAGCGTGTACAGCTTTTATCTGAAGAAACGAATGGATTCGTGGCACATCTACGACAACGAGTATTTGCGTATGCTAAGAAGTATGAACGAGAAGTTCCGGCGCCAAGAAGCGAATTACCTACTCGTTGATTTGCAGCGAGTACAGCTTTTATCTGAAATAACGAATGGATTCTTGTTACCTGAACAGCAACAAGTTTTCTTGACTTAAGATTTGTTTCCTCAAAGCGTACAAAAGGAACTCTCGCGTATCTAGAAAAAACGTTCACACATGCAAGTGAATGCAAATGGACAATTTTGATTATGCCAAATATAATTTCGAATATTAAATACTGGTAAAATCTGTTCATGTTTTAATCCAGTGCAGTTCGGCACGGAATAAGTCCATGTTCATACAACGAGTATCCAAAACTATGAATGAATGTGCCAAATATATTTAAACAGCATATTATTTATTATGCCCATCAGGTGTATATGCATGCGTATATAGGTCAATAGGCAAATGCTTGGCTACACACAAACACGCACACACAAATTGATATATGCATATTTGTTTCCCTTTGTACAGTTCCCAGCTGCAACGATCGCTGTAGGACCCATTAAATTGCCATTACAAATGCACCTAAGCTGGTGTTGGGGTTCTGCCAGCCACGCCCATGCCCATTTTCAGTGGCTCGCCAGAAAGAGTATGGGTAGGGGTGGCGAGGTGGCAGCGCACAAAAACATATTTCTTGCGGCCGCCTCGCATGCAAATGACATTCAAAATTACCCCTAATGAGGGCCCAAATGGGCGAAATGTCCAAAAACTTAAATATTATGAATATTACCTAACGACAACGACGAGCGAACAAACAAACAAACAAACGAAGAAATTTTGCGCGCGTTGGCAACTGTTGTTGCCAGAGTTGCCACATCTACGCCATCCGATAATGATAATGACTTTTGTGGTTGGCCCACACACAGGCGAAACAAATTTAAGCAGCACTCGCTGATGACACATTGTCTGAGGCAACCCCCTTCCCCCACAACTGTAGCCATACCCTGCCTACAGCATGCTCCTTGCACTTCCGATTAAATTGCAAAAGCGAAGCTTAAAGCGCAGCTATACAAAACTCCAAACAGATTTTTCGCATAACCAATGAGCACAGCACACAAACAGAAAAAGAAGCAAACGTGTGTGCACGACTAGGCAATACCCTAAAGCTCGCCCTGAGCTCCTGTTAAACTTTTCGGCAACGACTATGCTGCTTCCTTCCTTAGCCCAACACTAAGGATAATGTAAGCTTATATATATTTAGTACTTAAAGTCCGATCGTTTTGAAAATATTCCAGTTTATACCGAATTGAAAGAGAATGGCAACCTTGTCCTTTGGTATTTACCCATACCTAACGTAAATACCAATAGATAAGATTCTCGTTTTTTTTCCCAATATTCGGCGGGAATTTGGGAAAGGCATTCAAAATTTTGAACTCCCCCAATCTACTTATACTATACGAGAACCTAAACTACAAGCTAAACTTAGAGATTTTGGGAAAACTATATAATCTGGAATACGAGAATATATATTTCATATATTAATTCTCTAGCTTTTGTAAAGCAGGCAGACAGATCGAGTCAGACCGTCGACCCGACAATGCATATATAAAAAAACACTTTGCCTTCATTTCACCCATTTTCAATGGGTTCTGTGTATACAAAGAAACTCAACGAAAAAAAAAAAACTAAAATAACAAAATATATTCATACATATTTACAAAAATGTACTTAATAAATCTTGGCACAGCAGGGCTGCTGCCTGAATGCCAGCCACCCGTTGGCCGGAACGCGGTTCGCCAGCTAACTTATTGCATTTTGCAGTTTTAACATGATAATAACCTCGACGGTGACCTGCACCACACCCACACACCCACCCACACAAACACACGCCCACACACACACACGCCCACCAATTTTGACTACAGTTTACGCCTTCGCCATTGGCTCGAATGCAAATGCTTTGCAGTTGTTTTTCGATTCTTTGTGCTGCCATAAGAAAAAAAGCCTCAGATTCTTAATACCCTGTAATTGCCCGCATGTGGCATATTAAGAATTCTTGCCTGAAGACCATAAATTGCCTCAGATAAACACAGTTTAATGAGATCAAGCGAAGGAGTGAAGAGATCTGTAGTTGCCGTTGTTCCCGGTACAATAGCTTCGTGTCTAGGATAATGCCCAAGTATTTTATTGCCATCTTGGACATGTTCCACATCCCAACTTTCGGCTGCTGATGCAAACTGCTTTCATCTTTTGCGATGGCTTCTCCGAGCCTCTGCAAATATGAATATACCTTTAGCAATTATGAACAGTCGTTGAACAGAGTTCACACACTCCAAATTCCACCCATTTTTCACTCTTCTCAGCGCAAATAGCAATTCCTGTTTTCACTTTCCCAATTGCTGATGTTATGGTTTACTTTTTATAAACAATCAGTCCGTCAGTCCATCCGTCAGTGCGAAAGGTACCAGAATACAAAATGTATAGATTATATAGAATTTAAACGAATTCTCTAGGATAGAAACTACACGAGAATTTTAATTCTGGATCAAAAGAGATAATTTGATGGCAACACTTCACTTTTGACAGTCTTCCAAAGCCGAGTTCACCAGAATTTGGGTATGACGAATAATTTTCACATCTCCCAAAGATAAAGGAATATGAGGGAGCTGAAAGGAGCAAGAAACAAACCAAACAAAATGAGTTTTAGACTAAAGACAGGCAAACAGTGCCTTTAACTCGCCATTCGTGTTTAGTCGGCATGTGTTTGATTCGGCGTTTCCGAAGGTGGGATCACTAATGCACTTACACTAACTAGGGAAAGGGCAGAAAGATTAGGAACTATAAATGAAAAGAACAGAGCGACAAACTCACCTTCTGAACCTAACGAACTTCTGCATAGTGTACCTACAAAAATTATCACTTTGTACTTATGTTTAATACACTCTAAAATTGTTGCTGTTTTTTTAATTTTCATTTATTTTCTTTTGAAATTGAATATCAACGATGTGTTCTGTGCTGCGTTGAAAGTCCTTCAGACGATTTGTTGCATGTCGTCTCCAAATGAAAATCTGATTGACAGCTTCAAAGGGGCTCAGGCTACTGAGCTTAGGAAAAAATGATTGTTTACCTACTCTACGCATTACAAAGAGGTCAATTTAATATAATTACGAAATTATATAAGGCTCAAGATATTTGTATTTCAATTATTGAAATCACTTGCTCAATTGTTTCAAGTCCTCAATAAGCCACACAGGGGAAAAGGAACGTTACACATTTACAATGAATTTTCACAAAGAAAATAAATTTGAAGCAGAGCGTTTGATAAACAGAATAGCCTAATTTATGCTATGAAAAGTGTTTACAGGGTATACGTAAGTTGTTCTTAGAAAAAATATGCAGCTATGGCAACATGGGCAACAGCACGGTACCGATTCCGAGCCCATGCGGCCCTGCGGCATTTTTCATTTTATGCTGCTACGCGGCTTTTCCTTTTTTTCTAGATACCCTGAACCCATTGCAAATGGTTTAAACGGGTATATCTGTTTTGTGCTAAGGTATGTAACATCTGCCAACCTCTTAAAGTATATATACTTAGTATGTTCATGGTCAGGACGACAATCTCATCTATCTGAAAAGCTACAAAAGCTGAAGTCTTCAAATCGCCGTTTCCAATATATCGACAAATATCGATTTTGAAACTTGACTATTTTGGGCATAATTCTTAAATAATCGGAGCTAGATGCTGCTCATTTAGAATGTGGGCTCTCGTGTAGTATACACAGATAAAACTACCCTTCTTTTTGAAAGGTATTCAGGGAGAGGTTCCTCTCCTCCATCCAAAATTGAACAAATCTTCTTGTATTTCTTTAATTTACGCTAGATTCTTGAGCTTGGGAATATACACATATTTGTGTGCCATATTTAAGAAGAATGCATTTCCTATAGCATGGAGCAAAAGCAAGAAGAATCACGGCCATTGCACGTCAGTTATTGTGTGTGAGTGAACTTTTGTGTATCTGTGGCCCCTACGCTGTGTACAGGGCATATCCTGGTCAGGCAGTCCCGACTAAAGCACTTCTACCAGTTTTTTTTTTAGAAGTGACTGGCATATGATATACGATATGGGCTAATGCAGCGCTTTTGCCTGCCAGCAGCCAGTTGGAGGCGCAGCATCCACTTTCACTGGATCCCAGCCCAAACGCCCCGCCCACTCAACCGTAACACAGAGACAGGCGCGATGGTCGGCGCAAGGAGGCGGAGGCGGGCGGCTGTCTGCAAAGCTTGTGGAGCCGCACAAATTAATGTCAATATTGATATTGGACATAGCATTTGGGCCTGTTAAGCGCTAACGAGTTGCCAGGTGCCCGAGCAACTGGCCAGCGAAAGCCGGCCTAGGCCAACCCCCCCCCCCCCCCCCTCATTCCACCATTGCCGCACACACAATGCCCCGCACACAGCTGCGTCTCTTTAGCGCGTGTTTAGTTTTCCGGCGTGCGGTTGGCGCGGTTTCCGCTGGCGTCCATTTGCATTTGGTTGCCACCATCCGGTTGTAGCTGCATTTGATTTTTAGCTTGCCTCATAATATATGTATGCACATGCACACACACACACACACACACTCACACACACAACTATTTCTATAGTCGCATTTGTATGTCTGCCGGCATTTAATTGCATTGCAATTTTTGCCTTTTTAATAGGTATATATAAATTATTTTGAGGATTTGCACGGCTTTAATCAAACAATGTGCATACTTTTTTATGGACTGCGAATTGTGTTGGTTAAATATGTAGTTTTTATAGAATATGCATAGAAGTTGTACAGTTGACTAAAAAATACTCTTCGGGTGTATAAAGCTCAACATCTGCTAGGGGTATTTATTGCATATATATTACTTTACATCAAGGAAGCAAACCAAACCAAATTATATATTACATATGACTTTAGGTATTGTCGAGTCAGCCTTAAGCTGCATTCAATTAAGTCTAATGCAGTATTTTACTACATCGACCTTGGCAACGCTGTCTTAAAGTTGTCATCAAAAGCATATTCCAGTTTAAGGTGCTTAGTGTCTTTAATCCTAAAGTTAATTGATTTGTTCCTTTGTCCTTTCAGCTCCCTTATATCCCTTTACCTTTGGAAAGAGTCAAAATTGTTCGTCATACTCAAATTCTGGTGATCTCAGCTTTGGAAGACTATCAAAATTGAAGTGTTGCTTTGTGAATTCAAATTATCTCTTGATTCAGAATTAAAAGTGTGTGTGTAGTTTAAATTTTAAAGAATGCGTTTAAATTCTGTATGATCAAATATTGTATTCTGGTACTGTTTGACTGACTAAACGCACAGCCTTGGAGGCTGTTATTAGATTTTAAAAACTGCGCTGAAGAGGATAGAAAATGGGTGAAATGCACTTGGTGCAATTGTTGTAGTTCACAAATTTTAAGCAGTTTCAGTACATTAGAGCTGGTTTACTTTTTGCATTTCTTGTGCTCTTTGTTGGAATCAACAAATGTTCAAAACTTAAGAGAAATAAAATGTACATAATTGTGTGGAATATTTAAAACCAGGTGCTACAAAGACTTGATCTTAGAAGCTATTAGGCATAGACCTATAAATATTCTTGATCAGCATCATAATTTGAGTCGATCAAGATATTTTCAAAGATCTTTGAGAGAATTTATTTTACATATATGTGCCAAGGGCAAGGCCGGGGTATACCCGCTAGTTATTTATATAACTATTAATACGTAAGGCATTCGCTCCTTTATGTCCTTTGGAAAACAACGTACCCAAGCGAGGTATTCAAACCACTTAGTTCCTTAGCCAATAATATCATATCTACCTTTAATATATGTTTGTCAGACGATAAGGCTTTCAATTAGTACTCAGAGAATAAACATGAGACACGCCAGCAAACTTTAGCTCAACATAGTAGCTTATGGGTCAATAAAACTATCGCTCAGATTTTGATTTGAAGTCGACATACAACAAATCCTCAGTACGACTTTTGTAAAGCTAGGGAGAACATTAAAAGTAATTTTTAAAAATGTTTTGAAAAATCAAAAAACCTAATTTATTAATTTTCCTCAATCTTAAGTCCAAAGTGAATAACAAACATTTTTATAAAAAAAAAATAAAAAATAAATAATATACATCAAACTACGTAATGTGTAAGTTGGTGACTCGTTGCGTAGTTTCTTTTTGTTTTTTATTGATCTAATCCTATATTTATTCACCCTGTTACAGACATTTTACACCGTATGGCTAACTCGATTGACGCATTGATGTCCACACTCGCCTAAGTACACAAATATATTGTCTAACATGCCGGCATGTATAGAACCCCCCCCCCCCCTCACACGTTTTAATATTCACCCTCAACCCACAAACGATGCATATAAAAAACACATGTTTAGACTCGAATTACCCAACACGTACAAATAACTCAAAACAAGCATACAAAATTAACACTGTTTACACTTTACCAATTTATATTATATTATTAACCAACACTAGGATGTATGTATAATCAAAACATAAATGCTTAATAAAGCTCACAATTAACCACACACACACTCGTACTACTCAAAGAGACGACGTATGCTTAACACCCACTATGCATACACTCGTACTACCCAACACTACGATGCATGCATAACTCAACAAAGGCACATTATCGTATTAACCAACAAAACACAAATTTTCCGTTAAAATGTATTATTGAAAATATGCACACTCGTGTTATCCAACACCACGAGGTAGGCTGACTCATTAAGAAACATTGAAGTTTACACTCGACTATGCACACACTTGTATTGGCCAATACTACGACTTATGAACAACTCGCTACACGAATTGATATTCACACTGAACTATGCACCATAACCTATTGCCCAACACTACGGCGTTAAACACTAGCACCGCGCACTAATTAAACGAGGTGAGTTGGCAGCACTGGTTCGTAAGCTATTCGATAACCATTTTGTTTAAAATTCTTTAAGGTCCCACATGATGATGAGTAAAGAGCTTCGAGAGGTAAAAACAGGATGCTGTTTGATATGGACTCTGTCTGGTACCACAATGGATCAATGGTCCTTCGGTCGAGCGGACTGTATTATTAAAACTAATTTTACACCATAATAGAATATGATATGAATATGAAAATTTTGATGCTCTGTTGGAATCGCAAAGTACATGAATAGAGGTTTCCAAATTGTGTTGTGACTTTAGCAAATATGCATTCAAAATTAAAAAAATTATTAAAGTAATTTATTTTAAAATACTTTTAATTCTTTTAGTGGGAACATTTATTAGAGATGAGCTAAATGTCTCAAACACATAAAAAACGTCTGACCTATTTTATAGAAAATGTATAAGATTATATACTATTTATCTTTCAAAGTCAATTAAAAACCTTAACTAAGAGCTATGAATAATGTCCAAAAGAGCAATGCAAACAAAAACTGAAACAAATTCAGAGCCTAGGACGGAATGCCATTGGGATATGGCTGAAATCAGTTAAAGTTTGATTTGAATTGATATCGTTTTGGCCAAACGCAACTCGGAATACTCTCGGGGCAAGACTTAAAATAGTTTAACCAATTCAAGAAGAAGCTCAGATTGCGACGACAACAGAATCTTGGAAAACTTTACCAGTTAGAAGAGATTGACATTGTTCTCGGCTAATACTGGAGCTGGGGCGGCCAAGGACAGTGGACAAGTCAAGTGGCATTCAGTGTTGTTAAATGCCCGACGGCAGTGTTGCTAATTTTCACAAGTTTTTCACCTGCCACAGCTGCCGCATACTTTAGCTGAGCTTTGGCTCTAACGGACCACAAACTATCGCTGCGAGGGCTCAGGACGAAAACTATGCCAAAGATTTTGCCAAGTCAAGTGCAGACCGGGCGGATGGGAGGAGCGGGGGGTAGCGTGCGTTTTTAAATGAGTACATTTTCGTACAAGTTTATAAATATATTCAGCAAATTGCTGAAATACTTTTGTGCCGAGCAAAAATATTTTACAACTTCTCCGCTACTGATGCCAAAAGTAACTTTCTCGTTTTGGGCAAGTTCGGCTGCTGTTGCAGCTGCCTAAGCCACGGCCTTCAAGGCGTATACGCAATTCACTGAACATTTTTGTTCTTATTTTATTTGATTTTATTTGTTTTTTTTTTTGACTGCATGCGCAAAGCTACCAATTACCAGCTGCCACAATTCGCCAGGGCTAGAACAAAAAAAGTAGAATATATAGTAATAAAATAAAGAGAAGCAAAATCTAGAAGTTCGTATATCTTATATGGTTTTTAGCACATTGCCAGTCGGCATCGACGTTGGCTACAAGTAATCTGGCCAAAATGGACGAGTAAATCCGTTAGCTGCCTCACAGTTACTTCCAAAGCAGCCCCAAGGAATACATGTGTGTGTGTGGGTGGGTGTGGGTGTGTGTGTGTGGGTGTGTATGCCCGTGTGTGTGGCAAGTAGCTGCAGTCGTTGGTAGCTGCATTAACCGGGATTTGGTTGATATACCCTGTGCCCACAAAGATGAGAGATTGTGTCTTTTGGTGTCCGACACCGACTTAGTCAAATACAAAATACGAATATTATATTAAATTATTTCATATTAAAAGAAACTATTTTGTCTATAGCTCGTTTTGAGGTTCGATTCGTGAACTTTGCTCTCCAACTCCATGTACTCAGATTTATATTCAACCTTTGGCTTGTCTTTACTTAAAATCACATTCTTAGCTGTGGCAAACGGATGGAAAATGGGTGAAAAATGATTGCATGAAACAGTTCTGTTTGAATTCCGATCAGGTTTAAGTCATTTGCAAAGACCGTCGTAAAAATGTATTCGGCTTTTAGCTTACATGTTGTTCTCTACCATGTTTTTAATGTTGTTTTCTCCCTGAAATTTGTCTTTTTTTTTTTGTGTTAAAATTCTTTTATTACAGCTAATCTTCTGTTACTCTTGCTTAGCAACTTTTATCAGCCTGTGTTGAAATTCGTCTGAACTCATAATGTTTTATAGAGATTTTAGCAGATCGTAGTAGCCGGAACATTCTTAAAACTTTCACTCAAATTTTCATATGGAGCCTTCAGACTACAAAACCTCACTACGAAACTCATAAAAGTGGGGAGTACAACAATAGAATTTAACAAGTAAAAAAAAAAAAAATTTAAATCAAATAAAATAATTAAAATAAAAAAAATTATAAAAAAATATGTTACAAGAAATTAAAATTTTGTTCTTAAGCTGAAAGTGATTGCGACTTTTTAAGAAACATACGAAAATGTAAAATTTATTGTTGCACGTAAGTTAACAGCTCGTATTGTAATCATTTACATTTTGCCCAAGGTAATTCTACTTTCAGTCCCCCTATTTGTTGCATACACGGACATTTACTATGCCCAATAAAACTTTGACCAACACTTCGACGTTTGTCTAACGCGGAATACACACGCACCTATACACACATTACTAAAAACTCGTACTGATATTCACACACTTAAATATGTGCACAAACGTATTATCCAACACTACGATGTATAGACAACTTAAAAGCCATAAATGCAACAAGCTTATTACACATATATTGCATTGTATTTTCCAACACTGTGCCGTTTAACTTAATAAAAAAAATTGCTAAAATTTCTACTAGACTACGAACTCTGTCGTATTGCGCAACACTACAATGTTAAACTTATATGCACATACTGACTCAGGTACAAATATGGAAGCTTACACTCGACTATGCACACACTTGTATTGGCCAATACTACGACTTATGCACAACTCGCTACACGAATTGATATTCACACTGAACTATGCACCATAACCTATTGCCCAACACTACGGCGTTAAACACTAGCACCGCGCACTAATTAAACGAGGTGAGTTCGCAGCACTGGTTCCTAAGCTATTCGATAACAATTTTGTTTAAAATTCTTTAAGGTCCCACATGATGATGAGTAAAGAGCTTCGATGGGTTAAAACAGGATGCTGTTTGATGACTCTGTCTGGTACCACAATGGATCAATGGTCCTTCGGTCGAGCGGACTGTATTATTAAAATTAATTTTACACCATAAAAGCTTGATATGAATATGAAAATTTTGATGCTCTGTTGGAATCGCAAAGTACTTTATTGAAGGTTTCCAAATTGTTATGCGTTTTAGCAATTATGTGTACAAAATTATTAAAAGTAATATAAAAACTAGTCTGTTTTTATAAAAAGTGCAAGGCATAGGAAAATGGTAAGAACAATCTTTACTCTCTGATCATTAAATTGATTTTTGAAATTTTAAATTAAATTCTGGTAGTCTATTCAAGTTGGAAAGAACAATATCAGAATTTAAGTGCTGCCTATTTTGTGAAATAAAATTATCATATTTGATGCTGTTACAAATTCTTGTGTAGTTTCTATACTGGACAATGTGTTTTAATTTGATCTCATCTACATTTACATACATGCACCTCAAATGTTCTATAATTGAGCACAACTTAATCCCAAGAGATCTGGTTACAGGGTATGTACCCGTCGCTTACTCCAGCAACACCTGACTAGCATTTCGATTTGGCCATTGCATTCAAATAAAATATCAGTTGCCAGCGAACTAGACGTCGGCTGCTGGCCGACTTTTTTGCGATTTTCAATCTGGCCACCGTAATGCCAAATGTCAAAATGTGAGATAGAGACAACAAGCGGCAAACAAATCCAGAGACAAAAACCCGCATTGCGAACTTTGTCCAGGAGCCAGGCCCCCCTTTATAAACTTTAAACCAACAAAACTTGCTGCCAGCACGAAAAATACACCGTGAGAAAAAAGCCTAAGTTTAAATATATTTTTCTTATATTTTTTAGTCCACATACATACATCATTAATACACAAAAATAAATATTGATATTTTTAGATGAATTTACCAAAGTTTTTTCGGTTTTATTCACTGAAGTTTTCTTACCAAATTTAAAAAAGAAAACTACGATTCAGATTGCTTTTTTTTCTGTGTTTGCACATTAAATAAAAAAACTTATTGTCAACTTGTAATGGGTCAATCTGCTACAATAAATCAATTTATATATAACTACGTTACGACTTAAAAGTGGCCGAGTATTCAATAACGTTACGTTAGTAAAACTTTTCCAATGCCATCAAATTCAATTGGTTTTTACTGCAGCTTATTGAATTTGACAATTTTAATACTTTGAAATAACCGAGCAGAACGCCATAATATTACGTAAGCGCTAACGTAATAATGTAATTTTCATAATAAGATACCTGAGTAAAGTTCGCTTGGAAGTGAGATCATATATTATATGCCTTACGTCAAATAGATTCTAACGTTGTGAACTTACGGTACGTGACCTGTAAAAATGTAGCTCTTGCAGTCGTTTGCGTACGTTTTTTATCATGCACTATTTTTGTGGTATGATCTGTAAATTGTTGATTGTTTACGTCATGTGGTAACGTAACGTTAATGCAACTTCTGCTTGAATAATTTACTATTGCAGTCTTCAGTTGTCTAAAGTAAAAACAAGATTTACACTTTTACGTTACGCGCTTACGTAACGTAACGAAAATTTTTAGCTTTTCTTGAGAGGCCACGTGTCAAGTTTGTTTTGCTCTTGCGAACAGCTCAGCTCACAAAAGTCCGACATACCGCCTGCTTACGTAACGTAAGTAAACGTAATGCAAAATTTATTGAAGTGGATACTATGAGTTTTCCATTAAGTTGGCATTTCCATACTTTGTGCCTCTTTGAGACGCACACCAAAAAAAAAAAATGTCCAAATAAATCTAGAGCTATAACGTAATGTGCGTAAGTGTATTTACGGGCATGTGTGCGTGTGTGTGTGTGTGTGTACTTGAATTGCCGCACATATTTTAGATGAAGGCACTTTGAAATTGGGAATGCATGCATTATTTTTTGCTAGAACGCCCAGCAAATTTATGTACGCGTCTATCTCTATATGTGACTCACTAAACCAACTACCGTCCCCTCTTCTGCATCCCCTAAGCCATACCCTCCTGTCGCCTTGCCATCTTACACCCAGCACAATTCGCCGTCTTGGCTTGTCTTGAGCCCTGGCAGTTGCCGGAGCGGCTGAGCAGCCTTTCAAATGTCATATGAATTTTTTCGCGCTTGACTGTCGCCGATGCGCGTGTGTGTGTGTGTGTGCGTGCGTGTATGTGTGTGCGTTAACGTAATTATATGTATATATGCATACCCTATAGACCGGGGTTGAACGAAGCATGCGCATAATCACAATTCCTTGTGCTCTCCACCCGTGGATAGGAGAAGCGATTGCGTTGTCCCTTCTTCTAACCACATGTGAGGCAACACGGTGCCAATTTGCTGGGGTCTGATCACAACCCACTATCCCGAACTACAGGGTATATGAATTTATACATACATATATAAATATTTGTGTGTTGTTATTGGTGCACAAATTTTCGTACACTTGAAGGCAGCCAACGCAATTTGTGCCCGCGCTTGATCTTATGATAGCTCTACCCCCACCCCCCTATTGTACCATCTGGTCTATCCCACCCCTCTTGCTGTCTGCCAGTAACTACAAGCTGGCTGTCGCTATAATTTTCGAAAAGGATTTACAATGCTAAAATTACTTCCTAAGCCATTCGACCTTGTCGTCGTTACGTACCACCGCATCAGGCACAGCCTTTGCCACAGCCTCAGCCACAGCCTCAGCCACAGCCTCAGCCACGGCCGCAGGAGCGTCAGCTGCCTCCTCTTATCGCGCATCCTTTTTCGCGCGTATGTGTGTGTGTCGCATGCTTTTTCTCTAGTTCGCAACTATGCGCAAATCCTCACAACGAACTGTTTACATCTGGTGCGGATTCTGGATTGAGCCGTCTTTTTTGTATTTTTGGGCCGTCGACTGGTTTGTTTGTTCCCAGCCATATGCCAATGGCCTAGCATTGGTTGCTTTGATACCCTTTCATTTAAGCGCAAGGGTATCGCAGAAACTGGCTTGCTTCAAATAAAGATAGAAACTGGATATCTGCTTTGTCTATCCAACAAATGCAGGCGCTATTTTGTAAAAATAATCTTATGGCAAACTCAGATCTTATCGGTATTTGGGTATTGCTTGCTTCAAGGTTCAGTTCAGTTCAGTTTGCAGCCTAGATAGGGTAAAATATTCAAAGCAGTCAAAGTTCATGTTAAATTTAACATTAACTTTGTTTTTATTTTATTTAGGTATGCTCCTTTTTAACGCAATAATCCTTCCCAAATTCACATGCTTGCAATTTCAAGCCAATACTGCCATATGGGCAAACCATTACCAGGTGGCAACACTGCAACACTTTATAACATTGACAACTCAAACAATTGTAATCTTATATAGATGCTTAAGATTTCGCCTAAATGAAGTGCGTTTAAGTCTTAACAGCTGGTTAAAGTGCTTTTTAGCTTTGACAGCAAGTGGGATTAGACTTGATTACAGGATAACTGCCAGTCAAGCATTCAATTCTTTTCTATCTTTTTATTTTTGAACTTGCTTTTGGCACTTTTGCATATTTAGACTGTGTGTGCGCTCGCGCGTGTGTGTATGTGTGTGCGGTCTTTGTCATCCTTAGGCTTTTTTGGCCGCTGTTCAACACTGGCTGCACGCCCACTCAACGACAGCTGCTGCCAGCATTTTACACTGCCAGCTGCAAGTTGCTGTCCCCGTTGCCTGTCGTTGCCTTTTGAACTTTAATATGCGCCTCGCTGGCGCCCGTGTGTGTGCGCGATGTGTGTGTGTGTGTGTGTGCGACAAAGGACAGCTCCATTTTACAAAGGCGTTGATGTGCACACACACACACACACGCGCGCGCGCTCGCACACACACATGCTTTGCATAGGAAGCCCTCTTAGTTGTCGGAGTAAATCCCATTTATAATTTACTGTCGTCGATTTATAAATGAGCCGATGCCATCAACGTTGCCCGCGTTACCGCTGCATGTGCCACCATTTTGGGCGCCTAAGACGTAAGTGCTTTACATAATTTTAGGCGTATTTGTGGCATTAACAGGGACAAAGGGAAACGATTGTCTCCGTGCGCCTTGGTGTGCTTGTTTGTGTGTGTGTGTGTCTTATACACTGCGCAAAATGTTAGCCCACCAACTGTTCAAGTGTAGCCAGATAGAGCTTTGGCGTGCAGCAAAAGTGCTGAAAGCTCTTTTAAGTTTAAGCATGCTTGTAAAAGCTTTAAACATTTGATCAACTAAAGAAAAAGGAACATTGGAAAGCAAAAAATAGGCAAGATCTAGAGATGAAATTATATAGAAAAACAGAAAAGCTTCTTAAAGCTCTCGTCTAGAATATTTCAGTACGTATTTATCAAGGCGCAAGTGCTTCTGTTTTTTTGTGGTTCATTTAATGGTTCGAACCAACTGCTGCTTGTCTTTAGGCTCCTGTGGTTCAGATTTAGATTAGAAATACTAAATACTAGCCGGTTGGTAGATCACTTTAATATTCACATATCGTTAAGATCAAATTGAGTTCTGAGTCAAATGAAAGATTTCCATAAAATGATCGTATCGAAATGCAGTAAGAGTTTTCAATCTTCGCATACTGACAAATTTTGTGCAGTGTACGTAGTTCCACAGGTGCGTTATAGACAGCTCTTAAGCTCTGCACAGCTCTGACCCAGCCTGGCCCTGAGCATTGGCTTAAATGTGTGCGCCCGTGCCGGAGCCCCAGGCATTGTCGCATATGTGTAATTAGAAATTTATAAAGTGCAGCTTTCGTATGCGGCAGCATATACCCAAAATCAGCAGCCACAAATCTGGGATCAATGCGGTCTCGACATCATGCAACAATTATTATTTGAATTAAAGCTGCAAATTTCACATGGTTATTTTAATGCAAGAATATTGTTGTAAAGCAGCTCACGTGTCCATCGTATAAATCCAATTATCCGGCGCAAGCAGGGCACACGGACTCTTAGCTGTGCCAGATGTTAGGGATATATATAAATAGTGTCCTATTCCACAGCTCGGTTACGCAACGTTGACTGCCACACAAAATTAACAAGTGTTACCCCAATTCCGCAAGACGTAGTTCGTGCCAAGAACTGCGTGTATGAATCAACATATACATACGTTTATATATACATCTGAATAGTATATTTAAGTACAACTGCTTACGATATGCATCTGGCTGAAATTAACACTTTCAGTTTGAATGTCCGTTTGCAAGTCTTTTACAGGGTATTTAGGCAAAAAAAAAATTTACGACTAATTTAACTTTATTTAGTATTTGTTTAACATTTGAAACAGCTCACTTGATTTGACTCTCTCGAGAGAGAACCAGAGAAAGGTTTAAATTTGATTTTTTTTTAATTCCCCTTTGTGCCTTGTCCGTAAACGTTGCAGATTTGGCGCTGATCAACTTTATATCTTCTTCAGAAGCCACAAACCAAGCTCAAGCTTTATAAGTAGCTTGAAATACCATATACAGTGTCATACTTCACAAAAAGCCTTTTAAAGCTTTAAGCAAAACTTAAAGCTTTCCGAGGGAAGCTCTTTTAAACTATTCAGCTTAAGCTATCACTTTGAAGAGAGCATGAACAGACATAAGCATTTAATGTTACAAATTTTTACTGATTTGAACTTTAAGAACCCTACCATTTCATTTAGCTTAAAGCTTGTTCTAAGATTTGCTAACGTATTTCGAATCTTAACACAAACATTGCTAACTTTTACTGATAGCAACAATTTTGCACTGACATACTTTATTAGAAGACGATTCGACTCAATAATATATCATTAGCAGAGCTTTAAGTGTAATTTTGAGCTTAAAGCTCTGTATTTAAATTTTGCAATTTAACAATATATTGACTTCAATTCAAATGCAACCGGGGAGCTGCTACGGCCAGCAATCGTATGGTTTTACTATGCCAGCACACTTCGTATATTAAAGCTTTAGGTAAAAAGCTAAAACTTTTCCATTATTATTCACAAATAGCTGCACATCTATTTCAAGCATATGCACAAAGCTTTTTGTAATTTGTTAAATTCAACGGAGTCTGGCAGGTCCTTTCCCCCTCTCTCTCTCTCTCTCACTCTCTTTCTCTCTCGCTCGCTCTCTCTCTCTCACTCTGTCTCTAGTTTGAAACTTATAAAATTATGATACCCAGAAAGCAACAAATTTTAATTGCAAGAAAATTTTCGTAATTCACGCGCACACAAGACAGAGACATAGATAAACTCATATGTGTAAGCCGAGGGAGCTGTGGCTGGGGCGGGCGAGCATGGGCGTAGAAAGGGGGTCTGCTGTCGGAATGGACGCAAGCTACTAATGTAGCCAAAAGTAATATGGGCGAGGGGCGTGCCTGCAGTTGGAGCTAGCACTAGGATTGTAAAATAAACCAAGACCAACAAAAAAAATAAATAAAATAAAAAACAAACCAAAAGCTCGTTTCAAGTTGTGGAAGAGTTAAGGTATGGAGAAGGGGGCTGGCAGTTGGGGCTGCTTCGCAACTATGCAGCTGATTGCAAGTTTGTGCGTGTGTGTGTGTGTGTGTGTGTGTGTGTAAGTTATAAATTTATTTAGCCAACGCGCGTATAGCGCATAAATTGCTGAGCGCAAGCTGCTTAAGGCTTGCCAACCCGTTCCACAGTTACATCCTAGAAATGCCAGGCGCTTTCCTCTGTGTGAAGAATTGAAATTTATTGTTATTGTAAGCCTCACACACACACACGCACACAGAGAGAGACAGCACCTTATGGTGTTGTTGTTGCTGTTGCTGCTGAATTACCCGCAGACAAAATAATAATGTAATAATAATTTTTCCAACTCGTTAACACACGGAACGTGCGTTACACATGCACGAACTGAACTCCGACCCAGAGACCACCAAAGACCAAAGACCAAAGAAAGCCGAACCTGAAACTGAACCGTAACCCATCCCCATACCCAAGCCCAAGCCCAACCCCCCCCCCCCAAAGTTTCGGTAGCAACCACCATTTTGACCAGCATGTGGCATGTAAGTAAAGCGTTTCCCAGTCGGCAAAAGCGGCAGAAATCGTGGGTGGATTAGATGCATCTAGTCGAAATTAATGATGCGAACAAGGGAATGTTGCGGCAAAATGGTGAAGATAGGTATAAGAAGGAAGCGAACAATCAGGGAATTACTTGGCAAATGTGAAACAGACCAATTCCAAAGTTAACGGCAAGATTCTGCAGATATGAATAGGAAGGAAGCGAACAGTCAAGGAATTAATCGGGAAAGCAAGTGGAAGTCGAGAGTGTTGAGTACCACGAAATGCCTTGAAGCTAGATCCGAGCTGACATTCAAATCGAACAAGCCTACAAGAGCACACATTCCGATCCTCATGAAATTTCATTCAGATCTCAGATAACACCCAACTCTGTGAGTATATCAGAATGCAAGGATATACATATCTTTAAAGGTGAGTTCTATGAAATTTCGGTAGGAACAGATTGAGGTATCCAAACAGTCAAATATTCTAAGCCTGTGCATGCCAAACGAGAACCTACATATCAATTTAGCTGTATCTAGCTCTGATTATCTTCGATATTTATCGATATTAAGACAGACAGACGGGCACGAACAAATCAGCTCAGCTCGTCATCCCGACGTGAACATACATCCTTCTTTATATATCCTTTTACCCTCTATAACCCTATACGGATTCAATCGGCTTTTCTTTTCATAAGTATGCTTCGGTTCAGTCTAAGGTTCGGGTGTTCTAAAACTAGCTTATCTAGCTTAATGTTCAGTTCCGAACATATATCAAATTATAACACCGGACTTAAGCCAGTGCGGCTCAAAAAACTTGACGGCAGCTTTTGGAAAAATAGACATATTTGAAAGGGATTCAGCTCATTGAGTGCTAAGTCTTTCTATATATGCTCATTATATCAAGCGCTATCACTTAAAATTGTTCCGCCTCTCATTAACTTAGTCTAAGGATTTAAAAGAAAAGCCTCAGCAGCCGCTTGCACATGTGATTAAAATGAATAATTCCAAAACTATTCCAAATCGTTTGAATCCAATTTGCACAATCAGCCAACAACTTGTAATTGAAATTTAAATAACTATTTGTTAGGACTTGCCACAATCGGAGCAGAGCTCAAATGGGGTTGATTCTTTGATTTAAGCTGAACTAAACGACGTGATGCTGGCCGCAATCTAAAAATATTTGATTTATTCAATGCTTGGCATTCCATGGTATAATCATTTCTCAGGCTTTGCCTTATTTCATTTTCTTTCTGGCACAAAACAAGAGCTTAACAAGGCGACCGCAGCAGCTGCCTTACGACGTTTTTATACCCCGCAAACTATTGAAAATGCTTAACAAGGGGTAGATTGTTGCTGTGCCAGTGCATGCAACAGGCAGAAGGAAGGAACAAGGATCCCAATATTTATATATATCTGCTTGATCAGGTCGACTGACTCGATCTCAGGGATATTTTATCTCCTATATCATAAGCAAAACAAATTTATCTTTGTTTTTCTCAGTTTCGATAAATTATCGATAAATATCGATTTTAATAAATGGCCTCAAGCCAAACGTTGGGTTCTCGCATAAGCAGCTTATAAATATTTTACTTCCTGGATACCTCTAATAGGAATCTAGAATGTTTATAGCTGAGTACAGGGTATCCCCTAGAGTCGGTCACTCCCGACTGAAGCACTCTTACTTGCTTTATTTTCCTGTGCATCCATGCTTTATTCTCAGCTTTCCTTTCACTGACAGCACAAAAAACGAGAAACGAACCACAAAAAGAATAAAAATCCATTTGTAAGGCGCTTTTAGTGCAGTGGGTCGCCCGGTTGCCCGGCTGCCCGGTTGCCCGGCTGCCCGGTGGCCGACTCGTCTGGCTGCCTGGATTGCTGGAGCTGAACTAGAATAAAATAATTGAATTCAATTTATCGGCATAAATTGTTTTAATTAAAACTGAAAAACAATGCACAGCAAATATCAAAGGCACACCGAAGCGTTGATGGTCTTTGTTGGTTGTTTTTTTTGCCTGTGCGGAACTTTTATAAATAATTTGATTAAATATTATTTATATAAAATAATATTAATTATAAAATGCAATTCCGAACTTTAAGCGAACTGTTGCACTTCCTAAAACTAACTCTGCTTTAAATCTTTCTATCCATCTGAAGAACTTCTTAAGATATTAGGATCAGCAAAATAAAAACAGATTTAAATTAAATGGGAAGAGGCTTTGTTTTTCTTTTTTTTTTTTTTTGTAGACATTTTTACTTTTTGGTGTTGCCAATTGAATTAAATCCGGTTTTTCTAAAAAAGCTTTTGATTCATATTCGATTTCACATATTCACAATTGAGTTTTCTATCTTTAATATATTTGAATATTTTTTTGAAATATGCCTCTGAACCACTATTAAAACAATTTTTGAACCAAGACTTGATTTTTGGATACTCCTATAAAAACCTAATTGCATATTTATAACCTAAAGCGAATTTTATAAAAAGCATATTTTATCTATTCTCGCCAGCTTCTATTATATTAAGATTTGTGTCCCTGAACCCGTTTTAATCCCATTATTAGGCAACAATTATGTAGATGATATTTATGATACGATATGATGATATTTATGATGATATATATGGTACATATATATATAGGATATATATATATATATATATATCTGTAGTTTTTATACCAATCTACAATTGATAAAAAGCTTATAAATATTTAAGTTCGAATTAGCATATTTCAGTTCGTTTTTTGAACCAGCTCTTAAACCATTTTTAAACGTCAAGTATTATACATACACATATCTCACTTTGCTTTGGAAAAATCAATTACAACTTTCAACTACCTATAAACACCTCCTCCTACCTCCTCTTATAGTTTTCCAGCTATCGCTGAAATCAAGCAACAAAAGTTGACACTAATTCTGCGAACCCATTTTGAACGCCTTTTGGAACCACTTCTAAAGAACACGCAAACGATCACATGAACATTTATTGCCATATGTGGATGTAAACAAAAAGCTTAGAGTCAACTTGATTTTCATATAATAACCTACTTCTAAATATTTAGTGAGACGATGATATAGTCAAGGGACTCGCATCGGAGTCCTGGAGGCACTTGTTCATGTCAGGACCAAGCAAAAATTGCCGAATGCAGCGCAGAACAACAATAAAGGCATTCGTCATTTGAGCAGAAGGCACATCGGTTAAGTTGGTTTAGTTAGAATTGAATGCTAGGAACTAGGAATTGCGTTAAAAGAATTTGAAATTTGGTATAAAAAAAAGACGGAACACAAACAACAATTGTTTAGGAACTGGTTCCCGTTTGATCTTTTGCTGTTTGCCAACACTTAAAGGCTAGCCCAAATCTGTGCAATTAGCTCGTCCGTTTGCTGTATAAAAGTTTCGAGTGGTACTATTTGCTGATCGAGCGGTATCTCATCCGGTTCAATATCTACATCCATTTCTAGTTCATCTGGTTCCGATTCCGAATTTGGCTCCGGCGTTGTCTCACGCTCCTGATCCAAGTCATCCAAATCGATGTCCTGCATCTGCGACAAGTTCGGTTGCATGGAATCGTTCATGTTGTCCATTGAGTCCAGAGTATTCGAATAGAACGAAAAGGTATACGGCGCACCGTTGCGACCCGGACTATCGCTTTGTGAGCTGGCCGATGAAGTGGCCAGATTCTCCTGGGGACGCCAATGGCTATAGAAGGAGAGCGGCACAGACTCATCCGGATATTGACGATAGTTGGGACTATGACGCAGACCCCGGCGATAGTTAAAGTTTTCGTACGAATGGCGCCAGGCGTAACGCTCCTCCTGGGCCGTCTGGGCGGGCAGCTCGCCGACCAGCCGCCGGAATGGACGACTGAGCTCTGTCTCAAAGGTGCGATCCTCGTTGTACTGCCAGGCGTTTAGATCCTCGCTGCTGCAGCTTATCTCGGAGCGTATGTCCTCAATGTCGCCATTGGTGCCGCACGATCCAATGTCCCAATCATCGTCATCCGCCTGCGTGGGCTCATTGGCCAGATTAACCCAATCGGAATTGAGGCGTGTCGCCAGACCGGTAGCATGGGCGCGCAACTGGCGCACCATGTACGCATCGAAGGATTCATCATCCTCGAAATCGCTCTCCCAGCTCTCCTCATCGCCCTGCTCCTCCTCGTTCTCCTCCTCGCTGCTGGTTAGCGACCAGAACTGCTGCGGAAACTCCTCAAAGTCGGGTCCCAAAAATATGGAGCTGCGTATGTCCGAATCCGAGGATGACGAATCGTTATCGCACTTGATCTGCGAATCATCATAGTCATCATAGGGCACGAACTCCGGTGTGCACTCACATGCCTCGCCCTCATCGTCGGTTTCATCTTCGGTCTCGCTGCTGATCTCCTCGTCGGTCTGCAGCTCATTAATGTCCGTTTGCTGAGACTCGTCCTCAATTTTGGCCGGCAACTGAGCCACGTTGGGCATAAACAGCTGTTCGGCAGCCTGCACGGAACGCTGAACCCGCTCCAGCATCGCCTGCAGCGATTGGCTGGTGAAGTGTATGTCCTGGACCAGGGCCGGCAGCACGGGATTCTGCTGTGGCGCCACCCAACCAAAGACGTTATCCAATATCCTGGCCGTGCGCATCACATAGCTGCAATAGTGCTCCACCATGCGATATATGGCCGTTGGCTGAACGAATCCGCCGCCGACTAGAATGCGGGGCGTGGACTGCACCGGATTACGGGGCAAGTCCAGGGGACTCATCATCAGCTGTTGCAATATATTGCCACCGGCTGGATCCTGCACCAAACCCAAATTGTGTATCAATTCTGGATTCACGGTGAAATTGTGTATAGTATTCGTATAATGCTGGCCATTGTGAATGATCAACGTGGATATGCACCAGGTGGCCGGTATTGGACCCGTCTCGGGTGCTATATTTATGTGCATAACGGTGCCCGGCGCCACCTGAATGGTGAACATACAATTCTCCGATTGACGCATCAAATTTGTGGTATCGCGCTGCATCTTCTCCAGATCGGCATCGTCCTTTTGCTCGTCCTGCATGTCCAGTTTGCGATTACCCTCGTCCATGCCTGTGCTCTAATCATATATCTATATAAATACATATGCATATATATACAAACACATACATATATGTATCTGTTCTCTTTGGTTGAGTTTCGGTGCCGCGTCTTGAGCTGTTTCAATTAGAAAATGTTGTTCGCAAATTAGATTTCCAATCGAAAATTCACTTTTCAATTACATCTCAAGTACCCCCCCTCAATTAATATCCGGCGTATTCCGTTCAATTAATTTAGCACGCCTGCGGGCATATGCCGATTGTTCAACCCTCCTCGAGAGCGGCTGTCTTTTTTTTTTAAATTAAATTCTCTTTTCTTTGTCACTTACCCACCTGTTTGAAAATCTTTGCGGTTTTTTGCACGGAAATTTGTGTGCTTTAATTTTTTTCAGTATTTTTTTTTTTATTTTTTATTTATTTTTTTTTTTTTGGGGTGGGGGAGCTTTGTCACAAAATTGATGTGTTTTGTTATAGGTAATTTTCTCAAACTGTCACCTGGAACTGCTTTGCTTCTCTCGTGCAAATGAAACAAACGAGAAACGACCCTGTCTGTCCATTCGGCTTGGCCTACTATATATCATTTATGTGTTCCATTTCGCATTCCAAATGTCAGTCACGTAAATAGCATGAAACTTTACAATAAGCAATATAAGATTTACAAATTATTGAAATTTGATTTCTTTAACTTAAGTTTCGCGAAATATGCAGCAACTTGTTTAAATAATAGTTTCTTGCTCCCACACACACTCAGACTCTCTCAAAATTAATAAAGCTTTTTGTTATTTGTCAGGAAAAGTATGACGAACAGGAGGTGACATATCCGACCCCATAGGGTACATATATATTCTTGATCCGTTTGTCCATTTGTCTCCTTGTCTCTGCCAACAATTCTCACAGTCTTAAAGCTATCGTCGTTAAACTTGCAGGTCTTACATTTGTCTGAAGTGGTCGAATCGGACCTCTATATCATATGGCTACCCTAGGAGCAAGCGCTCAATAAATAAGTTCTTGCATGGACAACTTTTTTATTTATCAACATATGTAGACAAAATCTTATCAATATCGGACTACTATATCACATAGTTGCTTTTTGTATAAAAAATGTTCTTGTTTAAAAAGTTATTTCAACCAAACTCGACACATTTGCTATATATGCCATATGAGCCAATTCTTATCAACGTCGGATTAACAATTAAGTGTACAAGGGTATTCAAACTTTGGCTTGCCGAACTTCTTATTATTCTTCTTCTTCTTCTTCATCCTTGTTTACAAATACTTTAAGATATTGCCAAAGCGAAACTGTACGTTTGCCTCCTAAGCTGCTAAATATTATTAGTATATATACATATATACATATATGTATATATATATTATAACTTTAAGTCAAATTTATTTACCATATAATAATAAAGCCTCAAAAATTGTTAACAAGAACTGAGCAGCTGGCCTTTGCTTGCGTGCTTTTTGCTTCCGCTTAATTGGCAGCACTGGCGCATGCGTTAAGTTGGCTGCGCCTGCGTTTTTCGCTTTACATATGAAGTTGGCTGCGCCGGAAACTTCGCCTTGCATATTAAGTTGGCTGCGACACAATTTAACTGCCAACTGGCTTCTCGTGACTTGAGTGCAATTAGCTGCTGAAATCGGTTTGCCTTTTCAAACCAATCGCGACAAATAATTCGTCAGTTTCAATTTGGGGCGATTTTCAGTCAGCCCGTGTTTAGTAGCTATTTTGTGGTTGATTTCCCCAGTTTTTTGGTCGAAATCCAATCAGCCAATACCCTCGCGTTCGCCGCCTGCTTGGGCATATTTCTGCATATTTGGTGCTAATGGAATTTTAACACAAATTAGTTGTATTGCTTAAATGCCAGCAAGCAATTTGGTAATATGTCAGAGCCAAAAGTTGACCTGCGGCATTTCAGTCATTCTGTGCTCGGGAATGGGAAGCAAAGGCACTGGTTTCTGGGCTATGGCAAGGTGGGAGGGGGTTGGCGAAACCGCAAAACCAATTTCGTTGGCCGAGTGCTTTTTGTGCTTGAGTCGACGACGGCAGCTGGAATCGGAGTGGGAGTTGGAGTGGGAGTCGTAGTCGGAGTGGGAGTCGGAGTGAGAGTCGGAGTGGTAGCTGGAGTCGAAGCTGCTGCTCTGTTGACTGTGTGCGATTGGCAATTTCTTAGCTGCGTCATCCGGCTTGCCACATGCCACACGGCATATGCCACGGCCAGGCCGGCTAAGTGCCTATGACAACGCTTTGCGCAGCTCGTTGCACAGTTGCAACTGCTGCTGCAGGCAACATGGCTAATAAGATGGGTTGTACACACACACACACACACACACACACACACACCGTCAAGCTGCAATATTGGCATTAAATATTTTTACTTGACATTGCGCTGCAATAAAATCAAATCAACAGCAACAAGTGAGACAGAGACAGGACGCCACAGAGCGAGGGAGCGAGAGAGAGAGAGAGGCATGGTATCTGTGGCCAGGGCTGTCAACTCGCTGGCAATAACTATTATGCCGCTCCATCCACCCCCCCCCCCATTTTACACCACCTCCCCGGCCAGAGAAAATGAAATAATTTTGCCGCAAGGCAGCCAAAAAGGAAACGAAAGCAAAACGAATTGAAAGGCACAGGCAAAGGCGAAGCAGCGACCAAAGCGGAACAGGCAAAAATATTATCGAACGTGATTTATTTTATTTGCCGCCATCGCTCTTTGAGTCAAAGGAAAAATATTTGGTGAGCACTGTAAAAACAAGAGCAGCCAGCGCAGGGCCTTAGGCGCTGTCAGCATCGAGTACTGGCAGTGCCCAGCATCGAGTAGCGAGTACGATTCCATTTTCATTTTAAATAATAATAGACGACAAGCAAATGTAAATGTTTTTCTTAGCACATTTATTCCTCGATTGTTTTCATAATATAATATGCAATAACAGTCACAGCAAGGAGCTGGTCACACTGGCCAACGCAAAAGTGCATGCATGATTGGACTCAATGTGATTGTACGCTAGCAGCGGGTGAAACGAAGCTTCGTTTCATCATAAACTGATTTGTAATAAAATAAGTATATATATACGCATATACATATGTATGTAAATGTAACCCAACTTACCCAAAAATACGCATACCTACTCATCACTCAATAAAATAGTAAAGAGAAACAAAGAGCGATAGAAAAGGAGAGAAGGCAAAAGAGTATGCAAAAGAATAAAAAAAAAAAGTGAAAGCATTAGCAGAGATAAAGCTTAGTAAATTGCCAACACAACTTGTTAGCATAACACAATAAAAGCAGAGCTTGCAAACCTTTGCCTTACTTGAATTCATGAGAATCGCATAGGGAGTCAGTAAGCATAGGTTTGTCTGTATTTGTTGAAAGTGAAAACTTCGTGCATGCATTTGTTAATCCACACATACATGCAAAAAAGTCATGAAAACTTGGCCTGCGCGTTGGCTAAGGGACAACATTTATTACCCGGCTTTGCTCTTAAATGTTTGCTGAATTTGCAAGAAGTTCACTTTAACGCAAACAGCTGATGATGCTCTATTTTCACAGCGTCTCTCAACCTAACCTCAACATATACCGTACATAACCTCAACTGCATGTTATTAAGCAACACGAACATGTGCTAAACATAACCTAACCACACACTTACCTACACTTAATATCTGGCTAAGCCATAATTTTACGCTTACTGGCTGGCATATTTTAGGCCAGAATCTCGGCCAGCTTCGGGCTTTGGTTAGTTGCCACTGGGCCGACGCGTCCAACTGGAGTCCCATCCATTTGGCCCATCTATTTTGGTGGTATCTGCTGCTGCTGCTGCTGCTGCGGCTGCTGCTGTCCACTTGCGAGACGCCTCGTTGCCTAGTTGCCTGGCTCTGGCTAATCCGAAGCATCCACGACCTGCACACTGGCAGCTGCTCTGCTCCAAATTGCATGCAAACAGTGGCATCAGCAAAGGGGGGGGTGGAAAGCAGAAGAAAGGCGAAACTGCAATAGAAAAAAAAGCATAGATAGTCTCCTTCTCTGCATACAAAAATTATGCAATGCTCGAGCTTTAAAGTAGATTACATGAATATTTTGCGCGCCGGCACAAAAGCCCACGACGGACATTAATCACGGAAGCGACGGCTTTGGGGCCAGCATCCACCGCCCCATACCCAACCCCCCCCCCCCTTCCCCCTCACCCCTTTGCCTACGCCTGGCGTCTGCCTGTATTGTATTTCTAAATAGTGTGCTACGCCCACAGGCGGGGGGTTTCTTACTGTGGGCAGCGGGCAGGGCTGGTGCTAATAAATTGCCAACGTTCTGGAATGCCGGAAAACCCTTTGGGTTCTTCTTTCAGATTTTCCTCCATATTGCATTTGGGCCGCCAAGAAATTAACATAATTTTTCAATTGCCTTTTCGTTTGCCAACACGTGGCCGCCTGCATCGTTGCTCTCAATAATTGTCTAGCCATATTTTATTGGCTGCTTCGATTCCGGTTCGGAAATCGAAATGCAGGCCACAGTAAAGCCTGTTAAAGAAGTCAATCCATTTTGTCAGCTTAACCTTTGAAAGCTCTTCAAATACGCAGACAAAAAAATAGCACACAACCTGAGACAATTTACATTAAGCCAAAATCGATATATATCGATTCCCAAATCAGGAGATTAGTAGCCCTGGAAGATAAAATAGTGTTGTGCAAAGACTTAGCCATATGTACATAAATGAACTACACATATTCGGCTACCCCAAATACATGTAAAGCCTTGTTTTCGGCATATGCCACAATTGAGGTCACGAAATTTCCAGATTTAACTGAAGTTTGAATTTTTCACCTCAGCTACGAGATATATTAGTAGTATATCTCCATGGAAGACGTTTCTTTCCAATTCTAATACTGTTTACCTCCTTGACTCTTCCCCTTCCTTTGCTTAAACTTCTACACTCTCTCCCTCTCTCTCTCGCTCTCTCTCTCTCTTTTAATCTCTCTCTGCCTCTCCAACACCTTGGTACTCTCTCTTTGCATCTTAGAAACGTAATACCGTTTCCCTCTCTCTCTTTCTCTCTAACACGCCTACTTTCCCCCACATTCTTTCTTTCTCTTCCCCCCCCCCCCTCCACCCATCACCCTCTCTCATTCTCCTTCATCTGCCCACACATTAAATTGTCCGGTAAGCGACCGCATAAACATTCACAATATGGCGACGAGTCTGTCGCATAACCGCAAACTTCCGGTTAACAAACAACCAGCACACACACACACACGCACATACACACACTTACGCAGCCTTGGCTGCTTTAGTTATTGTTGTTTTTGTTGTTGTTGTTGTTGTTGCTTCTGCTGCTGCTGCGTCGTGTTGTCGCGGTTTTCCTTTAGTGGTCGTAAACAATTTTTACAGCCCAAACATTTGGCTGGCGCTTTTATTATTTTTATATTTATTGTGTTTATATATTTAAAAAACAAAATGGCGTGCGGCATTTTAGTTTACGCCTTACGCCATTCCATTTAATTTACTTGTCGCCGGGCGCCCTCGCTTGCCCCACGCCCCTCTCCGAGCTCCTAGGCCAGCCAAGGCCTGCGGCCTGTCCCCATCCATTTATCACATTTCTCGGCAGAGGACCGCGGCTGCATTTGAACTGAATGCGGCTTGTTTGCGGGTGGCACGGAGGGCGGATGCGTTGCTGTCGTCGGCCATTGACCAGCTGGAGCGGCTGCCGCTGACGCTAAGTAGTTGCGGCAAGTTCTGGCCTCGACTTGCCTCAGCTCTCAAGTTTCCTGTTTGTTGATTTAATTTGCCTTTTGCGCTGAACCCATATAAAATGCGTAAAACGGGTATAAAGGCTTTGTGCAGATGTATGTCACAGGCAGATTTCATATAAAGCTATTCCAGCCAAATCGATGTGGCCAGGTCCGTCCGTCCGTCCGTCCGTCTATCTGTATGTAGGAAACCTTCTCCCTAGAGGTATTTTGAACGTAAGTCCTCTAAAAAAGCACGCGCATATCAAACATCGATAACTTCTCGAAATCTATAAAAATCGATATGGAAATTCTGTTTTAAGACCAAATCTCAGAGCTGATAAGAGCTATAGAGACCAATTGTGGTATGGAGGCTCTCATAAAGCTCTGGTACATCTGAAAAATATTTGTTAATTTATTGCTGCCCAACGTTTTGTTCCAAAGTTGTAAACAATTCAAATTACAGCCTTGGCCTTCGGTATTAACACAAGTTTCTGTGCCATAATTAATCCCTGAAAAATTCATATAGATCGGCCCATGAACACTGAAGTTACTCAAGAACATGTTTCCCAACATGTGGAGTTCAGAGTGATATATACTTATATATATAGAAACAAGTTGAATGGCTTGTAATGGCAGCTCAGCTCAGTTGAGGGTAACTTGGGTTAGGGTAACTCGGGTCAGGGTCAAATACTCCCGACTAGAAGAAACTTTTAAATTTTTGCTGCCGAATTTCCCTCTCTCCCCATCGCCC